TTTCAAATGTATGCGTACCTTGACAACAACACAAGAGCAACCGACTACCTTCCTGGCTTTCCCCTCAGAGTCTATCTTGCACAGCTGCATCGCCCAAGCACCCATATTAAAAACAAACCATGCATGAAAGAGCCAGTTTTCTAAGCACAAGGCATGAAATAACAATTTAATACCTTCAAACAGCAACAAAATTTAATGACAAATGATAGTAGTAGCAAAAAATTAATAAGGGCTGTAATTGAATAGACAAGACTATGCAAACGATTCACGGACTGCATTACCATGAAGGATTATCAATTTCAGAATAAAAGATTTCAAAACACACCATAATATATTTGTAATATTATTCCATCCTAATATTATTAATCACTAGGAAAAGTTGCAAACAAATGAAAAATACAAGTCTCATTTTCTCTTCATGACACAAAGTGAGCAAAAAATGCACAGTTCACCAAATATTAGAGAATCTGGCTAAACATAATACTTACTCCCGCCCATTCACCAAGGGTCTTAGCACTGGGAACTGTCAGCAGAGTAACATTATGGTCGTTGCAAAGTGCTTTCACCAGCTTGACATAGTCAGTCTGGTTGCAATCCTCAGCTAATACACAGAGCTGGGCAGCATGCTTCTCAATCACCTTTGCACCTTCATGAAGACCTCGAGCCAGCCCACCATGAGCAAGAGATTTCCTTAACACATGTTGCAAAGCTGTAATCAAGTCCATCTCCTCAGGGACTGCAACAGATGTCTCGGCTGCAACAACAGCAGCAGCAGCACCTTCTTCACTGCAAGAGTAGCACATAAATAGTGAATCGGAAATGTTCTGCAATTACTTTTCTTAAACAGCAAACTCAAAACACGTTCCACTCCTCCCAATCAACACATACAAGTTCATTTCATTTATTGAATCTCATTGTAAAGAGGTAGTTATCAAACTTCTATTTCAAATTGGATCAGTTTTTTTTAAACTAACATCTATTACAACCATCCAAAATTAACACACTAGAAACCATGTCATACATATACATTTAAAAGAATTATCAATTGAACTTCCTGTTGTCTGTACATGTATTACACCTTTAGCAGAAATTAAGTCTTTCACCACTAATTCACAGAAGTCAAAGATCTAGAACACAACTCTAGGACATAGTCAAACAAAGAATTATGCCACATGAACGATTTACTGAATGACAATAAAATGTCAATGCCATACACGTCAAAGAAACCATGCTATTTTCTGTCATTAGATATCCAAAAGATTACAATTTCGGAGGGAATTAAGATACAAATCCATTAAATACTTAACCTTATCATAGCCATTAGAAGGGAGCTAACCGCTTGAAATGACAGATTTCTTCCACAAGGGAAAATCCTTATTAACTTCTACCCCAATTAGCCCTCTTCTTTGAGCACATGACACCGAATTGTGCCACATATCAAACTCGTATGATGCAAATTTTAGTATAATGACAAAGGGAACCAACTTGAGACCATTTTATCTTGTTAGAAGCTTTAAATAAACCCTAGAAGAATAGGAAAAAACAGGTTTGGCCATAAATACATCCACACAAATTATTAAAGCACATTAACATCCACAAATGCACCACCACACAATAGACACAAATAAGGTTCAGCAGGAAAACACAACAGTAAGAACCTTTTTTTTCCTCAAATAACAACAGCAAGAACCTTTTACTTGCACCGGGACATACAATGTCAGAAAAAATATTTTGTTTTTGAAGAGTATGGGTATGTTTTGTTTCTAAGCAGCTCAATAAAGGTGTCTGTTTTAGCCACTTTGGTTTGTGAGACAATCACTTGTAAACAAAAAAGAATGAAAACCTACCTATTTTTTTAGCTTATAAGGCATATAATAATTCATACTTCATCTTTTATCTTACTCACTTATAACCGCTCTTTTACCAAACACGTAATTTTTGTAAAGCTTGTAAGTAAAAAATAAACTGTCCCAACACATTCACTTATTTTTAAAGCTTATACACATTGCTAGCCTATAAATCTCATCCACTTATAAGCTTAAAAGAAAATTTTTAAGCCAAACCAAAAGACCCCTATATCTCATGGCACTCTTCTGTGTTCTAGATCTCATTTTATCCTTATCAAAGACAGCTGTCAGAGCTTAGAGGGAAATTCTGTCCGTACCTAAGGCCATGTGAACCTGAAAGCAAAAGGCAATAAGGCTCAGAAAGAACTTTTTGTCGCCCAAATGAGAACAGGTTTCCTATCTTTTGTTTCGAATCTTATAGCCAAATTTGCTTGAAAAGGAATCATATAGCCATATACCTGAAACTAAAAGGAAAATACTATTGTGATGCTAGGGGGACGGCTAGTTTAGGACTAAGGTTTTGCCAGCATATATTGATCCGAGACTTCCCACAAATAAAAAACAAACCAATCTAGAATGGGCAACCATGTCAAGTACTAAGATCACTGCATTGAAAGATCTTCAAATAAAACTAATTCCAGAGCATGTTTATCATCAGCTATAACGGAATATGGTGTATCTCCGTTGGTTTTACTCATATAATCAAATCTTGATTGCAAATTAGTTGTTATGGCCAATGCTAAGAGTTACAAGTTCAGATTAGTTAAATTAAGGGATTGCGAATCTTAAAATTTTGAAAGCTTTTATATAATGCAGTATTTAGCTATTGAGAATAATCTCACACTTGCAATCAGCGTGTTAATAAACAGAGAGATTACTGAAAACGCATAATTCAGACTCAACGAAAACAATAACCTAATGTGAGAGAAGCTTACCCTGACATTGTTCTTTTTGATTATGATGAAATCCCTTATAATCCCTGCAGTACATCCCAAATCAGACACCAAAAAACCATAAATTAGTACCGTAAAAAGGAACAATTATCAGAATAGGCTCTTAAACTGATTAAATCTTCACGGATGCGTTTCTTTTGTCAGTTTAACCAAATAATATAACCACATGAGTGTTAAATAACCAACCAACGAATTGCGAAACTGTACTAAAGACTCATAAACCCTAGAGAAGAAGAGGAGGAAAGAGAAAGGAACCTCTGTGTGGAGGCTACGCCGCAAGAGAAACTTCTTTCTTTAAACCCTAGAGAAGAGGAGCAAAGAGAAAAAAACCCTCTGGGTGGACGTATATGAGCGATTTTTATATTTATTTTATTCTTGTTTATTCCCCAACATTTATTCTTATTTTCACATTTACCCCATATTCTTAAAATTTATGATAAATTACAACAAAAAAAATATATTAATCACATTTAAATACATTTTACAAAATATAATTTTAAGTTTAAATCATACAAAAACAAAATTATAATGTTTTAAGAAATAAAAAAAGTAAAGCTAGTAAATGACTTATAAAAAAAAAAAAAATCCAACATAATAAAAGAAATATATATAATCATAAAAATAGATATAACTGATTTTTTTTAAAAAAAGAAGAAATAAAATATTGATAAAAACCAATATAATATTATAAATTGGGAAAATAAAATTAATTTTTATTGTTATTTTATTATTATTATTATTATTATTATTATTATTTTTGAATTAAATTATTCTTTTACAACAATGGTCTTCTTTGTAATAGTTTAATATTATATATTTATTTATGATATACAATTTATAAAGTTTATTTTTAGCCATGATAAAAATGAATTTAGAAACAACTTTTGCAGTAAACTTTATTTTATTTTTATAATATTTTTAATATTTAATAAATATTTTCAACACAGCTATTATAATTTTTTTTTGTTTGTGACAATTTAAATTAATTTTTGCTAGACAATTTTTGTTTTGACAATATAATGATTTTGTAAAGAAGCTCATTACATTATACACGTGGTTCTTGAATTACAAATCTTCATGTTTTTGAGACCGAAAATATTTGATTCGACCCGGTCGTTCAAGCATAATGGAACTAAAATTTAGTACATTTCAATCTGAATCGGATCAGATAATAACAATTTTTTCTTGTTTTAGTACATAAATGAACTTTGCAAACTTGATTATGTATTGATCTGGTAATGCATTTTAATCTGAATCAAGTCAAGTATTTCCTCGTGATCTCTTCTGCAACTTTAAAATATGAGTGTACACCATTCTAGCAATGCAAAAATGGCTATATTCCTGTTCCCTTGTGTAATTTACACAATTAACATGCATGTCAAATTGGTAATTAACTGAATCAGGTGTGGGTTAACTCATCTTCTGGCCTCTGACAAATTTGAAGTTGAAGAGGTGATTACTCGATCGAACTTCCTTTGCCGCAAAACATCTATTCACCGGAAACATTAATGTTACGCCAACAATGACGTAGCCAAGTATTAGAATGTAACAACAAAGTTAGGCTATTCCTACTCGTTCAACCTATTATCTAACATGGTATATCTTGAGGTTCCAACTAGTTTACGAAGTTCATGCAAGGCGCCACCTTTTAAGGTAATCCTTCATTCAACCAACATCGAGATTGATATAAGATAAATAAATACCTTGATCTTCCCACTTAAAAATGCTTAAATGCATGAGAAATGACAATAACAACAATGGAAATAGCTGAGATGATGTTGAGCTGAAACAAAAGGATCCCATCCAATAAGCACAAGCAGCTGACTTGAATTCAAAAATCAAACATATTCTGTGGACAATCCTCATATAAAAAATCAAGCACACTCCTCATATCAGCCTTCTAAAATACTGTGGGACAATAATAACTAACATATTCTAGACTAAAAGAACATCTCAACCTGCTATTCTTCATTTCCCTTCAATTCCTCACTTTCTCATATTGGTTGTAATATTTATAATTACAATATAGATTATTGTGTCTGAGTTACCGTTCCTACAATGATTATGAAAATCTAACTCCACCTTAAAAGCAGGAATCCGATTTTCCTTGTTAAAGCATTTACAATAGGAATAATAGTAATTTATAGGAATAATAGTAATTTAAACACAATAAATGGTGATCTAATTATGTATAATAACACTAAAATGGATACTAAAGATCAACTAACATTTGGATATAAATGAACTAAATGCGAGCTCCACGAATTCTCATGATTTCATGATAGCACCAACCAAATATGCAATTACTTGAGGTCTAACTAGAGGCCAAACCAAACATAGAAGTATGCAAATTTTAAAGGAAAGGACATATACAGAAACATAAACATATATAAACAACTAGAAGATAGAAACATCTCAGTTTCTGATGGTAAATAGTTTGTCTTGTTAATAGTCACTAAAAAAACAATCAATCCTTTGAATATAATCACTTACCCAATCTCTGTGACGTTCTAACTGAAGTGTGATAGACAGAGCCATTAGAAGTAAGAACTAAACAGCAAATGGTCCATAAGAAGTAAGAACTAAACAGCAAATGGATATTAGAGAGAAAGATTAATATAAAAATATTTCATAACTGTAAGAAAGTTGTTCCCAAAGTGTACATAGAGTGCAAGTCTGTGGGCACACATGTACAGTAAAATAAACAACTTTAAGAGCATAATAGTTTTTCCCAAGAGCAAAAATTCATTATTTTTCACTTACAAGGACTAGTCCATTCTCCACGCCTAACCCATACAACACGCCTGCATATTTCTCCACAGACCCGCTAAAGAAATTTTCTTTCAGCTTCCTGAAAGTGCAGGCTGTGAGCAGACTATCAGAACCTGCTTGATGAGAAATGCCAACCCTTTCAACTTCCAACAACTCAGCAAGCTTGTTCAAACCACCATGCAGGCTGTTGCAGAACTTCATCAAGTGCTTGATGTCGTAAAGAGTAGGAAAATACATCTTGATCAGATTAAAGAACCCAACTTGTGTATCAGGCAAATTCTGACAGGTCAAGAGCTTGAGCAAATATCCAAAATCATATCCACTATGAAAGGTAACCCAATGCACACTATCATTCAATACAATCCCTGAAGACATCAAAAGCTCCCCAAACCTCCTTGCATCAATACCCATCTCATTGTTCTTCTTGAAGTCAATCCCACTTTGGTGCAAAAGCTCGATAGAGTCATTAGCAAAGACATCCTCATTGACATTAAATTCACGGAAGTTGAATTGCCAGATGCAATACTTGTCGGTTCCACAAGTTGGTAAATTCCCGTACTCATCTGAAAATGTGAGACCTAACTGAATCAACTTGAGCATATCAACGTTGTCCTTCAAGGTCTGATAATGGTAGTCATAGCTGTTCTTGAAATTCCCCACGGGACGCAAGACGATCCCTGGGAACTCGGTGTCCATTGCAACGTAAGGATAATCATCGACAATCTCACGAATCAACGCGAACTCTTCCTCCAGATTTTCATTCCAAACCTCGCGAATTTGAATGGAATTGCTTTTCGGTAGCACCAACATCACTTGGAAACAACAATTGGATCACTCAACAACCAAACTCTAGGAAAAAAATTATGCAAACCCAATCTAAATTTTCTTTCGATAAATCCAATCTAATCACACACACCAGATTTGCATAAAATTTCCAATCAAACTTATCGGCAACAAAATCAACTTGATTAAACGAATTCAAATACGCAGAAATTCAACAAACCACACGAAAATGCAGATATTTGCCTATATATACATACATATATATAGGCGTAACGACAATAAGAACAGACCTCGAGAAATTACGAGAAGGATCTGGAGACAGGAATCGCGGATTCTAGAGCGAGAGAGACAAAAGAGAGAAGGGAGAGGAAAATCTCTCTTAGGGTTTCGAGGGTTGTGGTTCTATTAAAGAAGATAAGGTTGTAAGATCTCTTTTTTTTTTTTTTTTTTTTTTTTTAAACCAAAAACAAAAAAGAAAATATTTTACTGTGAATTTTTATTTTTATTTGAGAAAAAATCTGTGAAATTTGTTAATTCTGTTTTGATTTTCTCCGATTCGACCCAATCAAGCCCTTCCTGTTCTCCTGCTCAAGAAGCCGAAGAAACTGAAATGGCCGAAATGTAGACAAAGAAAAAAAAAAAGAATAATTAATAATAATAATAACTAGGCCAAAAAAAGTCTCTTTTTTAATTTTTTATCCTCCACAAAATATAATATTTTTTTTATTATTATTGAAAAAATATGGGAGAATAAATACTATCTTTTATATTTTTAGGAGATAATTAGTTGAAAATTTATTAAAGATAAATATTAAAATTTTAGAATCATATATTAAAATTTAGTTATTAAAAGTATATTTTCATGTATTATTTTTAAAATAATTCTACGATACAATAAGATACAGTAATATATTTAAATAAAATTTTTTCTTTAAGAACACGAGATTAGACAAATATATCTAATTTTTTTGTATTTATATTAATTAGTCTACCATGAGTGGTGTGCATTCGGTTGGAATGTGCATGCAATAGTTTAAGAAAGAAAATAAAAGAACTCGAGATCGACAATTATTTATAAATTTTAAAATAATAAAAATAAAAATAGATTAAATTTAGAATAACAAAAGAAAAAAATAGTTTCTAAGTATGCTTTTAAATTAGATTAGTCGATATATAATTAATTTTTAAAGTTTTAAAATAATGAGTTACTTAAAAAAATCTTATAATATCGGAAACAAAATATGCTATTAGGAAACCTATTTATAATCAAATATATTTTGTTAGAAAATATGACATGCAACATACAAAGTGGGCATTTGAGATTTATTATACTATAAACAAGGTAATTGAAAACAAATAATTATTTTAGTAAATTATGCGAAAGTAAGTTTGCCATAAACGCGCATGCAACTCCTACGTAATTAGTTTTTATCTTTTTTATCAAATATACTTTCGATTTTGCCAAAATTGAAAATATGCTTCAACTAATTTTTAAAAGAGTAAACTTACAAACATACTCGACACTCGTGAAATAAATAGTTTGGTAATTCAAATAATTATTTTAGCATGTTAAATATATAAGAAAAACTATAAAGGTCCGGAACTTAAATGAAAATAAAGTTATAAATTAAATGCGAAAGCGAAAAAATTAAGTTAGGGTTTACATTCCCTACACAATACTTTAGAATATCCAATAGAGTTACAAGAATGTCTCTTCTAAAGAACAAACGAAAATCAAAGAAATAAACGAAAAACAAATAACTAAGTAATCCTATGACGACCTTTACTAACTCTTGAAGTGAGTATAGGTGGTGAATTATTCACAACTCTCTTATTGATCGAGATCTGGATCTTGATCCTCTTAATATGAAATAGTTAATGAATGTGTGAGTTACACTATTTTAGTAAGAATAACACATTAATCACATATACAAAAAACTGAAAATTAGTAAAAATCAGAAAAACAACCAATGGACCCTTTAATTTAATCTAAATTTATTTATTATAAAGAAAGTCATTTACTCCATATTGTGTAACAAGTCTTTTCCAACAATAACTTATAAAAACTCATATTCATGTACTATTATTTATTACATATAAGATGACAAGAAATGATCATTTTATATTTTTACCCACTTACCGGTACCCGTGGGAGTTTATAGGGATGTCCTCCTACTCGTGAACCCAATATCCAACTAAATAATTAATCGGTCGTCTTCATACCCTGTTCGGAAATGGGCGCCAAACATTCCACCACCTCGATACCTCGTCCGATATGAAGGTGAACCATATCTCCCAAACCTTACTGGTAAGGGATTTTCCTGCCCCATCTGACTGAGATAACGTTCATGGTAAGGATTCCTATGTACCGGGCCCGTACGCTTTTTTTGGGTACCCAATAAGTCATTCCCATATAGATTTCCATCAGCATAACAATCAATCATGGAATAACCATATCTTATTTTATAGTCACCGTTCATTTAAACAATAATATAGTTTAACACAACTAAATAACCACTGACCGGAATACCAGCACATAATGCAGAAGAAATAAATAACAAAATAACCAAAAATATCCTAAAAATTATTATTTTGATTTACGCACAGTATAATAATAAACAAATATAGGCAATGCAGAAAAATAAATAGGAAATCGAAACGACTGTGAACTAACTAGTTCTGTCTCAATTAGTGACTTGTAATTATTTTCAGAGTTCTCTAATTTTTTATAAAAATACAATTATTAATTATCAAGCTTTAATTTATCGTAACGGAGAAAATGGTGAGGGATCCTTACTCGATCGGTGTTCGAAATACTAAACTTTCTACTGCGCCTACTGGCGATCTTCGAATTTTCTGAATTATCTATGCGGAATCCAAAATACTTGTCACATAACTAAAATTACCCTAAGAATCCAAAATCAGTGAAAACATCCTTTCTTGCCAATCTCAAAGTTCCGGCATGGCGGCACCACTGTGCTCC